TCCATCCAGTATCCTGGGCCCCAGCTGCAAAGAAGGAGCAGCCCATGTTTTCCATCTCCTGATTAGGCGGTGCAAGTATGGGAAATGGGATGGATCCCGAATAGCAGGTGTATGGAGGCTTCAGCTCTGAGCTACAGGGACAGAGAATGAGCATCAGATGGAATCAAGTACAGAAGGAGAGACTGCAGGGGAATAGACCCTTTGACAGCCCTTCCTGTGCCACAGAGGCAAGAAACCAAAGAGGTCACAGAAGCCAGATGACAGGGTTGTTGCTCATCAGGATAAAGACTCTGCCTTTGTCTCTGAGCTGCAGCACCGCTAGAATGCCCAAATCAAACTACTGCACATCTAAAGAGCAGAGGGTCACACCTGTAATCCCAGCACGGTGGGAGGCCGAGGTGGGCAGATTGCCTGAGGTCAGGAGTTCAAGACCAGCTTGGCCAACACAGCACAACCCCATCTCTACTAAAAATATAGAAATTAGCCAGGTGTGGTGGTGTTGCATGCCTGTTGTCCCAGCTACTTGGGAGGCTGAGGCAGGAGAATCACTTAAGCCTGGGCAGCGGAGCTTACAGTGAGCTATTGCGCCACTGCACTCTAGCCTGGGCAACAGAGCGACACCCTGTCTCAAAAATAAACAAATAAAGAACAAAGGGATAAATGGGGCAAAGAAACATGTCCACTCAGAGATCTACGGATTTAAACTTCTGCCATAGAATTCCTCCACTGGCAGAGAGTTTCCCAACACACCATTTGAAGGTGCAGCTTCCTCTTTGCCCATCTGAGCTCCCCCCTGTAATCCCAGCACTTTGGGTGGCCAAGGCAGGCAGATCACGAGGTCAAGAGATAAACACCATCCTGGCCATACTGGTGAAACTCTGTCTCCACTAAAAATATAAAAATTAGCTGGGCATGGTGGCTCGCGCCTGTAGTTCTCGCTACTTGGGAGGGTGAGGCAAGAGAATTGTTTGAACCCGGGAGGCGGAGGTTCCAGTGAGCCAAGATCATGCCACTACACTCCAGTCTGGGTGACAGAGCAAGACTTCATCTTTAAAAGAAAAAAAAAAAAAAAATACAAAATTAGCCAGGTTGTGGTGGGCACTT